CCCCCGCCCCCAACCTAGGCCATGAGCTTGTGCTTTACCACAAGCCCAGAATCAGAACCAAGGCCTGTGGGATGAATGAAGCCTCAGAAACTATGAACCCAAATGACTCCGGTTTTAAAGTTGTTCTCTCTGGTATTGATCACAACCAGAAGGAGCTAAGGTAGTGGCACAGAAGTAAGAAAGGAGAGGCGTCGCCGCCGACACTTGTCAAGGCATTTGATCAACGATACGATTGAGAACTAACACTTTCCCAGACATTCCTCGGTGTCCACGTGCCCACCTATAAAGGCAGAAGAGGATCTCTCTGTTCACAAGTTGCCACTTCCACCATGCCCTTCCGCCTAATAATTGATTTAATAATATAAAAATCACACCAGTAATGGCTAGTACTCCTATATCGAGTATTTATACCTGATTGGTTTGTCCTAAATCTTGAATTTGCATCCAAGTAAATTCTGTTCCACCATACCAAAAAGCAGGTGCTCATCAAGAAGGGTGACTCGGATTTGCTAACCTCATTGTGAGCCTGAGGTTCCACGGAGTTTGGCTTTATGCCTTGAAAATAGTCAGCTCTTCCAGGAATTCTGCTTTGTTGACCCAAATAGAACCCTAATCTTCTTGCAGGCCATTGACAGAAACTAGAACACCAGAGCCTGACAGAATTTTGAGATGCTGTTCAAAATTGCAGGATGTTTTTTGATAATCAGTTTGTTCTAATTGTGAACAAGATGGAACATTGAAACAAAAGTGTATATTTCTATTTTCTCAATTTCCCTGTGTAGGTCCTAGATCAACCAATGAGTTTTTAAAGCAAACCAATTAACATGGGCAGTCACAGGATTAACATAGCATTATAAATGATAACTTTCATAAGCAAAATTAAATCTAGGAATTAATAAGGCCCCTAAGTAAGCAAATTTGGGCATATATTGCCCCTTCCCCATCCCCACTCTGTCTTATTGTCTTGGATATATAGATAAACAGTTTCGAGTCTTAGAGTTGATCCTGACCAGTCCTCCTCTTGGGGAAGTAGTTGACATGTGATTAAGTTTTCAATGGCACGTGTGTGGCACCCAGTTCTTATGTCCCTTCGTGAAAGGAAATTTGCCTTGTTTATGGACCTTCCCAAAGGCAAAAGAGAGGCCCAAACATCTCGAGGAAGGGCTAAGACAGTGCCCAGGAGGCAAGAAAGCAATGGAAGAATGCGAATCTCTAAATGACTTGGTTTGACAGAGACATTTCCTCAGTGAGAGTTATATGTAAGCCTCTGTGGCCTGAGATTACAGGTGGACTGATAAACGAGAGTAACAAAATCTGGGAATTCCTTTCAATTGTTATCTCTTAGAAACCCCGAGGGCTTTCCTCAGCTTAGGAGTTACTACTGAATTTTATCCTCAACCTTCTTTTTCAGATGCTCCTTTTTTAAAAATTAAATTAAATTAATTTATTTATTTATTTATTTATTTATTTATTTATTGGTTTTTCGAGACAGGGTTTCCTCTATGTAGCTTTGCGCCTTTCCTGGAACTCACT